CATGGTCACGTGGACGTGGTGGAGGGACCTCCTGGCTGACCGCAGTGTCGATCCTGCGGCCAAAGAGAACGAGGCCCTTTCGGCCTCTCGTCCAGCCTGGGTCAGGTGGCGGTGTGGAGGGATCTCCTGGCTGACTTCCAGGGTTGGATCCTGCGGCCAAAGAGAACGAGGCCATCCGACTTGCCGCTCAGCATGGTCACGTGGACGTGGTGAGGGACCTCCTGGCTGACCGCAGTGTCGATCCTGCGGCCAAAGAGAACGAGGCCATCCGACTTGCCGCTCAGCATGGTCACGTGGACGTGGTGAGGGACCTCCTGGCTGACGACAGTGTCGATCCTGCGGCCAAAGAGAACGAGGCCATCCGACTAGCTGCCCTGTATGGACATGTCGGCGTGGTTGAGCTCCTCTTGGCTGACCACAGTGTCGATCCTGCGGCCAAAGAGAACGAGGCCATCCGACTAGCTGCCCTGTATGGACATGTCGGCGTGGTTGAGCTCCTCTTGGCTGACCACAGGGTCGATCCTGCGGCCAACGAGAACGAGGTCATCCGACTAGCTGCCGCAGGAGGTCACATCGGCGTGGTGGAGCTTCTCATGGTCAACGAGAACGTGGATCCTTCGGCTAAGGACAACCTGCCCATCTTTGAGGCTGCCTGTAGAGGCCACATCGGCGTGGCGAAGCTCCTCATGACCAACGAGGAGGTGCGCGCAAAGTTCGCAGAATTGACAGACGAAGAGCGGAGTGCTCGTGCTGCTGAATTCTTTCAATGGACGAAAGTAGCTAATCTCCGGGACAGTATGGATCTCCGGGACAGCGTGCTCAACTGCGTCGCACCGCAGGCCACCCCCCCTCCCCCCCCGTCAAGCGATGCATCATCGCCTTGCTCGGGGTCCTCACCGCGACTTCGCTCGAGCCCACGCCTCGTTGACCCTATCCCCACACCCCACACGGGCATGCATCTCGGACCCTCGGGCTTACACCGTTCTACTTCGAACAATCGGCAACTCCAAGCTCAAGAGCGCAGCCACCGACATCATGAACGTGTTTGACAAGGCAGTTCGCGACAACTGCCTCAACTATCATGTTGCATCCGCCGCTATGGCACTCTCCTTGAACGGCATGGCAGCGACAACCAGAAGACAGCGCACGTCTGGGGAGTCATCGTCGGCCGCAAACGTTCTTCCTGCCGGTTCGGGACAACGTGTACTCGCTTTACCTGCCCCTACCGACATCCATGTGGTCGTCAAGCGCCGCCTTGATCGTTATTTGGGTTGTTCACTCGGGCGGGAGCCCGTCGACCACGTCCAAAGACGGGACCATGTCTGCACCGGTCACTTTTGCAGCCGCACGGACCATGGCAGCAGAGTGCGCCTCGGCGTCCACCCCTGTGACCATTCGCATGGAGCAGGGCGTGTACACGTTTACCTCGAAAATCGTCCTCGAGTCGTACGTCACGTATGAAGGTGGCCTCATTTACGACGGCGCAGGCGTGTGGCGCAAGTCGAACAAGTTTGTCACCACGCTGCGGCGGACGGGAACTGGCTACGAGACGCCGACCAGCGGTCAGCGGGTGTACATTGCACTGCAGGCTGTGGGCAAGTCCAACTTCAAGCTCCAGGACCTGACCATCGAGACCAGCAATGCTCCGTCGATCACCTGGGACCGTGGCGTGAGTACCTATGGAGTGCATTTGGCCAGCGCCAACGACTTTACCATTCTTCGCTGCAACATCCAGCCAGGCGCAGCATCGGCAGGAGAACCAGGCAGTGCGGGTGGGATTGGCTCAGCTGGTAGCAATGGTGGTAGTGGTGGGAATGGCAACAAGGACAACGAGGACCTCGAAGGCGTGGGCGGCCACGGCGGAAATGGTGGCTCGGCAAACAACACAGGTGGCAATGGTGGCTCGATCACCGGCTGCTGTCAGAGTGGCGCTGTTGGGTCGACTGGTTCCACGCCTAGCCTGTCGTACCAGGGCGGTGGTGGTGGTGGTGGTGGCTCTGGTGGACAAGAGGATCGCGGCGGTGGCAAGGGCGGCAATGGCGGTCGCTCCGGCGGTTCGGGTGGAAACGGCGGCTCGTTCAAGGGCGCGGCTGGTTCTTCCGGTTCGACTGGATGGTCTGGTTACAAGGGTTCTTCGGGTGGCTCAGTCACACCTAGGCAAAACAAGCCGACGCGGAAATGAGCCGAGGACGATGGGTATGGGTGACAGCGATATTGGTACTGGTGATAGTGAACGGCGAGTGATGACCTTGGGTGTGGTCGCGGGTTGTGTAGCTGGTGGTGGGTGGGAGCTAGGTGGTGATGAGGGTCGGCTGTTCGGGCGAGCGGGCGGCGGCTGGCGGCTGGTGGTCGGCAAGGCAGGCGCAGCTGAGGGGGCTGGGTCGGGGCTGGATGGCTCGAGATTGCTGTTGGTTGGTGAATAGGCAGTCTGCCATGGGATGGTTAAGGGATGACGGTGTCGGAGTCGGGGAAGAGGATGGGGGTGAGCTGGAGCGGGGAGAGGAGGAGGATGAGGAGGAAGAGGAAGCCGAGTACGCGATGGGATGGTGGAGGGTATGGCCAAGGCAGGGTGGTGGTTGTTGTTGCTAGGATGATAGTGATGGTGGTGGGATAG